TTTGGAAAGAAAAACCACTTGGGTAGATGTCAAAAGCTTTAGTAGCAAGCCAAAAAGCATAAAAAATTAAACAACTCGCAGGCTGGCTAGTATTAGGTCTTTCTGTTCTGTATGCTCAACATTTAATGAATTAAATACACTCTGAGAGACCCCAGTCTAGATTGCCCAGGGTCTGCCCTTTCCTCAGAGAAATGTAAGTCACTCTGACTGAGAGTTTTCCTTCACAGAAGTATATAATTCCAGGATTTCAATAAATGTTCATGGAGGCTCATTGTTTTTCATTATTTTCCATAATATTCTGCATAGCTGATTTAACATTGCCTAACATGGATAGAGATCTAGTCTTAACCCAAAGCTAGAATTTTGGAATCCAAAGATTTCTAGTTTGCAGATATTTTGGCTGCACTGACCAGAGTTGAACAGACCCTGAGCAGGTTTTCAAAGTGCTCCCAGTAACACTCACATTTTCTTCAACCTTGCTTCTGATTATTCCAGGGCTACATCCAGTCTTTAGGCATCTACTTATCCTGAAGTTTTTAGACATACAGAGTATCTACAGAGCAATACAGTTGGTATGAAACACTAATATAGCAAAACCCAGCATGTTTTGTTCACACCAGTTCTCAGTATAGTGGTTCACTTGCATTTTGGGAGAGTTCCAGAAGATGCAGGCCACTGACCTGTAGTTCCTGGCATGAGTGCAAGAGGAATTCTGTGCATCAATAAAATAGCACCACATTTTCCTACCAGGCTTACCCATCTGGCTACCTCATCTGTTGTCAGAACTAACTGTGCTGAACACCCCTAATTAATGGTTAGCCATCTCCTGTGTATGCAGGGCTTGATTGAAATGCTCAGGACCAGCGCTTTGGTTGGCTCCACTCTTATCTTACTTGAAGCTGATAAAAGGAGTGTATCTACCATTGCTGCTGCTTCTCACAAATCCCTGGGCAGAAGCAATCACTCTCTGGCAGATTCTGTCAACAACAAGCAGCAGCACTTTTCTGCAGTGTCACACCAATCTCACTTCTGGGGCAGTCAGGCAACAGCAGCATTTCAGTTTTCTCTGTCCCCATCCCTCTTCGTGCCTTGATGGTCAGGCTGTAGGGAGAAGGAAGAACAAGGTATCAAATCAAGAAATGTTTACCGACTGCCTTACAGTTCTCCCAGGTTGTTTGCTCTTGCAGTTGCAGGAATGGCTTCTGGTCTTAAGCATAGGGCAGAGAATGTGAAAAATAATCAAATTTTCTTCACCAGCAGCTGCATTTTGAATGTGACCACTAGTATAGGGCTGGGAATTTGGTAACCAAAAAACTCTCTGGGAGAACTACACTGAAACTGCATTTTAGTAAAAAAATCCACTATGTGATGTTTCGTATTTACATATCTCTGTTTGTGGTTTTTCTGCCTTCCATCTGTGGAATGGGGAAAGGAAGCTAAACAGTAAATGACAGCATTTAAGCATCTAAATATTGTAACTTAAAGTGATAGTACCAGTTAGACCTAAATGAAAATAATATTTTTTTTCCTAATGCACTATCAAATAAACCCTAGAACAAACTAAACTATAGCACTTCTTTTTAAAGTCAAAATACTAGCCCCATTATACAGTTAGAGAATTCAAATGAAAACAAGAGTTGTTCAAATTGTATTTTCCAAAAGAAAACATTTTCAATTGAGGATAATACATACATGTTTTCTGAATACATGCAAAAATGACTTCTCTTTTATTTGTGTGAACCATTTTATAGTCCTAATTCAGATCAGTATCTGTTGTTATTACAGTACTTTAAAGTATGATAGGTTTTAAATAAGCACCTATACTTTAACATGTTTAGTTTAGAAGTCCTTGTCAATCACAACAGGTAGGGGCAGACAGCATTATGGTGAGAGTACTCTGTCTCTTCAAAGTTGCTGCTATTTAAGATAGGAAAACCAAAATCTCTTCCTGAATTAACATGTTGTGATTTTTATCATAACACACTTTCTGTGAAACATCTTACCCACAAATGTTAGGATAAAAGTTCTGGCACTGAATCAGATGAATTGCACACAAATGTACATCACAGACTCTTACTTCTAAAAGGAATAATACTTCAATACGAGTCTGGAACAAGAATGTAATTCCATTTAAGTTAGTAACATAAAGCACACCATGAAACAAGATGCCATGAAGCTAAAGGGTTAGCCTGTATCTACAAGAAAATGGTTGAGCTTAGAACAATTGGAGCCAGTTATTGTAGCAGCACTGGGAATGCCTTATCCCCTAAGACAGGTGCACTCCCTGCCGGCCTTCCCTGCAGAAACAGCCATTTTAATTCTTCAGCAATCCTCTTATGTCCTCTTGTTGAAGACCAGTGTCCCCACAGGAGACACGAAGGAGCTTATCATCATAAAATCATAGAATGTGCTGGAGCTGGAAGGGGCCCCCAAAGATCATTGAGTTCCAACACCCCTGTCATAGTCAGGGACACCTTCCTCTAGACCAGGTTGCTAAAGGCCTCATCCAGCCTATTCTTGAACACCACCAGGGAAAGGTAATTCACAACTTCTCTGGGCAATCTGTACCAGGGCCTCTTCACCCTCACAGTAAAGAATATCTTCCTAAGAGTTAATCTAAACCTGCCCTTTTTCAGTTTAAAACCATTGTCCTTGTCCTGTCACCATCTCAGCATATTAAAAGGTCCTTACCCTCCTTTTTTCAAGTTCCTTTAAGGTACTGGAAGATCATAATGAGGGCTTTCCAGAGCCTTCTCTTCTCCAGGCAGAACTGCCCCAAATCTGTCTGCCTGTCTTCATAGGAGAGAGGCTCTATTCCTCAGAACACATTGTGGCTTCCTACTGTAACAGGTCCACATCCCTTCCTGTTCTGGGAGCCCCAGAGTTGGATGCAGTGTTACAGGTGGGGCCTCAGAAGGGCAGAGCAGAGGGGCAGAACCACCTCCCTCAACCTGTAGCACACACATTGATGCAGCCCAAGGTGTTTTTGGCTTTCATGCAAGCACATGATGTTGGATCACATCCAGCTTTTACCCTCTAGAATCCCCAACCCCACAAGTACGCTCTTAGTAAGTTCTTCTCCCCATTTGTTCTCATGTCTGGGTTTGCCCTAGCCCAGGTACAGCACATGGCACTTGGACTTGTTGAGCTTCATAAGGTTCTCATGGGCTCTATTCTCAAACATGTCCAGGTCCCTTTGGCTGGCATCCCATCCTTCCCTTCTGTCACCTGCACTGCTCAGATTTGTGTCATTTGCAAACTTGCTGAGATAGCACTCAATCCCACTGTCTGTGTCATTGAGGTAAACACTGCAGAGCAGAGCTCCCAAAACAGACCCTGAGGGACATCACTCATCACCAGCCTCCACCTCAACATGGAGGCATTGACCACAACCCTCTGCACCCAGTCAGCCAGCCAACTCTTTATCCATTGAACTGTCCATCCATTAAATCCAGATGTCTCCAATTTGGAGATAAAGAGCTTCTGAACTGTTTGTACCTCTTGATTGCACTGTTCCAGTTGTATGACTTTTCCCAGTGTTTCCATGTTAGCAACTACGGCATAGTTTTCTAATTTCACAAAAGTTTCCATCTTCTCTTGCTCGTTACCCATGCTGTGTACAGTTGTGTAAGAGAACGTCTTAAAAAAGTTACCCATGCTGTGTACAGTTGTGTAAGAGAACATGTCTTAAAAACACTCTCCATCTGCTTTAGTGACAAGAGGGTTGACTTTAATTAGGACAGCTATCTTTGTAAATCAAGCCAGCCTTTGTACCAAATTGGATGAGAAGTTATCTCAGCTTCCAAACCATTAGTTCAGATGGGGCAAATCTGACAAGTGACAGCCACAGGATCTTACAATCAAGGGATGATAACGCCTTTAGCCAGTAAAGTAATTTCTTCAATGAGGTCTGACCCATACTTCTGATGTGATCTTGTATCTAGCCACAGTGAAATTTGTACTAGCTTGGTTTGCAGTGGCATAGTGAAAATTATCTCTCTTCTAATGCCCCTCCTAAACAAAACAAGTTGTATTGCTTCAGTTTCCTGACACAACTTAACTAAAGTCCATGCACAGTCATTGGTACAAAATGTGGGAATGTGATGAGAAAAACTTGCCCAGAGCCAGTTTTTTAGCACTGCCCAGCTGCAGGTCTTTTTGCTCATGATATTGAGCCATGGCAAAGCCATGTGAATGGTCCTAGCCCATTTAAGTACACACAGTAAATTATATCTAGGTATCTGCTGATACTGCATGAACTCAAGACTAGGAATACCCACTAATGGGCCTAATTTTACTAACAGCAAAATTTTTCAGAAAATGTTTCAAAATGGTGAGACAATAATCCTCCCTCGAGGACCTTATACTGCTTTTTCCAGTATTTTTAGTAGAAATCTCAAAAACAGGTTTTAAGGATCTCTGCTGCAAAGTAGTACAATTTTGTAAAGCCAATGCCTGGTGGAAAACCCTGGCAGAGACAAGGCATGTAGGTAGAGCTGAGGCTTTTTAACCTTCCTTATATATACCTGCCCCAGTTTATGATATATTTCTTGCAGTTCTGCAGAAAGTTTGTTTGTTTGTTTGTTCCTATGCGCTATTATGCTGGTACAAAGATTCCTGTCTTAAGAAATACACTGAGATCTTCCTGCCTTGGGCTTTTGGTTGTGCTCATGGACTCTTAAGTCTCCCCCAGCAGAAGGTGCCCCCACCTTGCTCCACCCTTCAGCAGGGCGTGTAAATCGGGGCTGGCCAGGGAGTCCCAGCCCCGGGATGCTCCCGGCTCCGGCCAGGGCTCAGCCCGCCGTACTCTGGCGGCCGAGCCTTGCTGTAAGCTGGACAGCAGGAGGAAAGTTTGTCGCTCCCGCTTTCTCTTTCCATCAGAGTCTGCGGTGTGAAGACTGCTGCAATTAGTGCAACAGCCTGAAGTAGAGGGCTCTAGACATCTTCCTTCTGCTCGAGCTCTCCCGGAGGACCCCACGACTATTTCAAGCTGCAGAAAAATGTACTGGGGAAATCATCTTAGGTAAGTTCGCTTGAGATGTCGGCAACCTTCTCTAGCCAGTGATTCTTTTTCCTTTTAAATGTTCACACACTCACCATTCGTTTTAGTGCTTGTGTCTTATTAGCACAAATTTATCTCTGGTTTGACGATTTTTTTTTCTTTCTTTTTTAAATTTTTTTTACAGAATTCTTTTCACTGCGACTCTGGTCTGGCAGGCTGTTCATTTAGAAAAAGGTTAGGGAAACTTCATGTTTTTCTCCGCCCCGTTGTGTTTTTTTTCTACACTTACAGTGTGCATTTCTTCATTACAAACTACCCTTCCCTTACATATCTGTACTTCTTGTCAAGGCCCTGAAAGAGAAGAATGGAAAGAAGATGTGAAAAGTCTCAATGCTACAGCACAAAAGCAGCAGCCCAAGAACGAAGGTTCCTTTATAAATGCGCTCAGTGATATGAATCAGAGTTATCAAAGTAGAAAGCAGCAGAGTTCCAGGTCTTTTGTACCTTTCACTGGAATTACAGAGAGTAAGTAACATTATTTTTGTAAACAATTACATAAAATTACTTTAAAAAATATAATATAGTAATGCTTTAACTGTTGTCCTAGAAGATTCCAGCCTGTTGGTTTTCTGTGACCACTCATTTCAATTATACCCATGGCCACTTAGTAAATGGTGATAAAAATTTAAGGTAGAACTGAAGATCTCTCACTTTTAAAATGTGTTAAGGAAAAACAAGGAAGAATACCAAGAATGAAGAAGAGTTTGGCACTTCGTGTTTACAAGAGCATCTGTAAAATTTTGTAACATTCTATTCATATTTTAGAATTCACGATATTTAATGACTATAAAAATGTTAATTTTATAAAAAAGGTTTGAGCTATCTGAAAGCAACAGTACTAACAGGGGGACAAAATGTATTCTGTTTCCTCCCATATATATAAAACTTTAGATTGGTGCTCAATCCCTGGACTCTGAGAAAGGCTTAAAAGAGCATTCTCCCCACCTCAAAACCAATAACTTCCCAGTTTTTTATTCAAAAATAAACATCACTTCCCAATAAAAATGCCCCATTTAGTGTGATTGAAACCTGCATCTGTCAAAGTGAAATATTTCACTTGAACACATCCTGCTGTTACAGAATTTGCCAGGCGTTGCTCCTTCACCATGGTGTAATCCCTAGTAGCTTGTTTCTAATCCTTAACTAAACAAACTGGGCTTAGCTGAACAAACACTCCTAACAGGCATATAATTTTATTGTCTCTAAAGACAATAAAACTAGATATCCTTAAGAGACTTTGGGAACTGGAGAGACCTGAGGAAAAGGTGAGGTTCAGAGCCCCTGACATGCTTGTTAACCGCTGTAATATTGTCTTGCAGGTAAAAAACTGAACAGACGCTGCTGCCAGAACGGAGGGACTTGTATCCTGGGGACCTTCTGTGCCTGCCTAAAGCACTTCACCGGCAGATACTGCGAATATGATGAGCGACAAAGGTGAAAAAAACAAAACAGACCACAGTCGGGGGCAATGAGTGTGGTGCTCTGATGGTTATTTCTGGTAGTGGGGTCAGGGATGTACCAAGTGTCTCCCTTGTCTTTGACAGCAACTGCGGCAGCATCCCCCACGGCGTCTGGGTGCTGCAGGACTGCTGGCTGTGTCGGTGTGGCTATGGTACACTGCACTGTCTCTCAGAAATAAGGCAGAGCAACTGCGGTAAGAAATGGCAAAAAGTCAAACGTTTTTATCCCCTGGGTGACAGAATTTCCTCCTGCACTGGTGAGGTACTTGGAGGATACAGTATGTGCACTAGCTGGGCTTCTACAGTAGGGTGCTTTGCTTTGGAGAATGCATTAGTGAAACAGTAAAAAAACATTGCTCTTGACTGTATAGTACATCACACAAGACACTTTCAGATATTCATAATTCTGTACAATAGGAAAATTCCCACTAGTGTAGTTGAAGATTACAGATGTTTCCTAGATAGAGAAAAAACACTAGTGTATATGTGTGTGGAGAGAGTAGAAAATGGTATTTCACTAGAGAAAAAAGTTGTGTCTACTTAATACACAGAATCCTCAATCATCATGCTTAAATGACACAAAATTAATCTGAATCTTTTTAAGATGTGTATCTCAATCTTCAGGATATTGTAGTATGAATTTTAGTCTGAACACACTCCTCACAAAAAATATGTAACCATTATCTTAATCAGTATAAAGGAGTGCCACCTAGTCTCCTCAAAAGCACTATATCATTTTAAGTAAAGTCTTGCTATGTCAGCCTGTGAAATTCCCTGAATAAATGGTTGAATATTTTTGAAAACAGTGCATCAACTAGCATAAGGATTTAAAGAACTGCTATACTGGTATTATTTTCCATGGAAAACTGACTGACCCAGACTGTTCTCAATACTCTTGAGATTACTAATAAGGATAAAAAAATATTTTCTCTTCAGTGGCAAAATCAGTACAAAATATTCTTGCCCTTTCCACCCAGAATATCTCAATCCCATCTTGTGCTTTCCTTCATTTGAGCCAATATCACTCCTTATCAGGGTAAGAAAACAATAAACCTAAAGGGTTTCAAGATTCATTTGCACCCCAAGCAGTCTCTTGTTTCCTGACCAGATTCCTACCTGAGTAGCAGTGCCTTGAAGCTGTGACTTCTGAGTTGTAGCACCAACTCAGATGTAAATCAAAACATTAAGAAGGTGACATTCCTACCTTTGTAACCCTAAACAGAAGAAAAAAACAATCCACCAGAACCACTTTTTCCTTGAAGTCTTCTGTATTGAGCAGTTATATATGTCACACAACTTGCTCTTTAAACTTTTTTAAATGATCACCTTCGAATCAGCCCTAGTGCTCCTCATTACAGGAGCAAAAAACATAATGGGCCTCCCTATGCTCTGTAAAAGCTGTCAGCTGCTTACTACTCTTAAACTTAGCTTCAGAGAGACAAAGATCTCAGCGGAGAATCCTCTGAGCAAGGACTCCGTGGCTTCCACGGATATGAGTGCATGGCTTCTCTTGCTTCGCTAAAAGCAAAGTCCCTTGTTAAAGCAAGGGTTAAAAATCGACATTCAGGCTTGAGTGCTTACCTCTTGTGAAGTTCTTCTTGCTTTTGCTTGGTATTTACTTTTGATTATGCTGAGATTAATGCCTGCAAGAGCTGATAAGTGCTATCAGTTGCTCCTCAAACGATCATTGATGGGACATCTATTTACATCTCTCCCCTGAGAATAGTCCCTTTGATTGGCTTTAACAGCTGATACCTTTAACTTAAGTACCTGTGAGATGTCAGAGGACTTTTCAAGTACGTTGAAAAAACTATGTTTTCAAATTTACATATTTACTCATTAACCATTTTATTTTCTTGATTTTATTTCTTTTAAGAGCTGACATCGGAAACAGAGGAAATTATCAGACTATATTCTAATGGTTTAAGATTACAGCAAACAGTGTTTTCAGTCACTTGCCTGCTCGCCATCCTTCTGGAGTTCTGCTAGCTATGAAACTGGACAAGGGGAAATACTCAGGGTTAGCATAACACTCACCAAGAATCATACATTTCTTATATGAGATACAGAAGACTCTTCTACCTGCATGTTGAAGGCAGATTAAGATGTATTAGCTAATGTTAAAATACCTGGGTTATTATAAATTCAGATTATATGAAAGTGAAGTATTTATTATTATATTATTATATTAATACTGCTATCAATGTCTGATTCTAACTATTCTTTATTTTCAAAATACTGCTCTTCCAGTGGAAGCAACCCCCCCCAATATTTTATGCCTGAAGTACTGTAAATTATAGTAGAAGTTTTGTAAGTTATAGTAATTTCTTTTGTACACAGTACAACTCTTATAACAAATAAAACTGATTTCATTTCTGAAAACTTTGTTTAACTTTATTTGAACTTGAAAATCCTTATCTACCATTTGTCATTATATTTTGTCTTGTAAGAAAAACTCAGGGTAGAATGAGCAAACAGAAATTTGACGCCATAAGAGGGATTTAAGAGTAGATATCTTTCAAGCCCTAATATAGAGAATTGTAAAAGTTACATTATCTTTCTTCTTTAATGCAGCAAAATTGCATATATGCATAATCTGCATGGCAGGAATAATATGTCTATTAAGAATACAGAAGTGATGGTTATTTGTCTTTTGGATGTTTACTTCATATCCTAGAAATATGAGTGTCTTTTTTAACATGACAGCAAAGAGCAACTTTAACTTTTTCTACAGCAATGTTGTTTTGATTTAAATATAATTTAAAAATTAGTATATCTAGGCTGTAAAATACAAAATGTTTGTAAATGCATTTTAATCAAGTTTATAAAGCAGAAACAGGCTTGTTTTGAAAAAAAATCCAAAGATACACCTAAAATGTATCTTTATCCTTTTGGAGTGGAGATACCACATAGAAACAATCAGATTCATAATTTTATTGACTAAAAAGGCATTATTGGTGAAGAAAATTTTTAAGGTACTTTGAAAGTTCAATATATCTAATCCTTAAAATTTATTTATTTGGTGCTGCAAATTGAGACAATCCAATTCTTTAGCAGTAAAGGATGCAATACCAACAAATGACATAGTGTAGTGATTGCCTTTAAATACATGACTACTCAGAATCAGACTTTTATGTCATTGTATAAAAACATATTCATGTTCAATACTGCAACTATTCAGACTACCTGTTTCCAAACTCTAGACTTGGGAGACAAGGCTTCTCACTCTTCACATAAGATACACTAGACTAGAAATGGTCCTTTTCCCATTATTTCACACAAACTGGTCTGTACCCATCAGCCTGGGTTTCCAGACCATCTTAGGATAATTAAATATCAAAGAGAACAGCTGGAGGAAAATAGTTGTGCCTTTATTTTGCAGATGCTGAAATTTCAGCAATGCCACTGTGAAATCATCTTGGCTTGCCATAAAGCATACCTGAGAAGTTGGTAAGCAATACATCTTGTGCTTCAAACAGCCTTTACTTTTTAAGGGAAAATAGTACAGTAAAAATACATCTGAAATAATATTTTTTTCCCCTGTGGAAAATAAACAGAGGCATTAAAGATTGCAATTAACAAAAGAAAAATGTTTTAATTCAGGTTTTACAACAGAGCAGCTATTTCTGTTTCAATAACACCCACAGCAGATTTAATCATGCAAAACTGAACTGGAATAACTGTGTATGTAGATGAGCCTATGTGCCTGCAAAAGTCATACCGATGAGGGTATTAATTTTGGGTTGGTCTGAGTTGCAGAATTAGACCAACTGAAATGCCCAGCAAAATATTATTTTCCTGCCATACGAAAACATTAGTACAGGACATCAGATTAGATGCATGGTTCTGTTTCTACAGTCTCAAAGCATTGCATGGGGAATTTAGATGAATAAGTAGTTTTAATCATGCCAGTGCAATTTTTTACTGACTCTGAATGCCAGAATTTGAAAGTTTTCTCTGGATGAAAAACAGAGGGGTTTTGTTTTGTTTGATTTTAAGATTACATTTCCCTTTCCCTCTACCTTATCCCATTGCATTCTGTTACTGGAAAATCTTAAAATTCTGCTTCAGGATGGTTTTATATCAACCATTCTATGCCAAAACTATTCCCTAAGTGTCAGGTAGTTGTGGATGATATTCATCTTGTCTTGGTGTCAGAGCTCTAGAGATTGGTGAGGTGTGGGTAGAGTTCAGTCTGTATTCTTCACATACTTCTGAAGCAGAGGCAGCCACAGGAGTCAAGTTAAAAGAAAAATCTATCTCCTTAAATTAAAGAAAAACAAGAAGAGTGGAAAAAGAAAAAGCACGCAGAAGCTGTCTCATGCATAGTCTCATTTGCAAATAAAATTGTAACTTAGAGGGAGGAAAACAGAAAACACTGAGGAACAAAGAAAAGCATACAGTCACAATCTTTGCTTAGTTTAAAACTGTCTCCACTTTTATCTGTCTCCAGCTGTCTGCAAGAAAAGATAAAAGAAAGCATTATTTTCCTCCCCTGTTACCATCTAGGCCTGGCCAACCTTCTAACAGTGCAATTACAGGCACTTTGCTAAGGTTTGTTTATAGCAAACAGCAATGCTTACTCTTCAGCCTCATGCTAACTCACAAACCACTCTGTCAAACATGGCACATCCCAGCAAAGTAGACATCTGTCGCTGCAAGTTCATGCCTGTGCCTCCTCTATATGCAGCCACATTTGGGCAAGGGAAGACCCTCAAAGAGAGGTATTTATCGGATGATCCACAGGGCCCCAGAGCCCAAGATCTTCTCCTCCTCGTAGCTGACTCCAGAACTAAAACAAATGGTGCTGCCTGCAGCTGGCCTCAGTGGCTTCACCCTTCCAATTGCTCCAGCCTCCATCACTCCTAGGGACATGCCACAGCTGATAAGAGCCCAAACTGGGTAAGAATGTGGTGGAGAGGCTGCCTTCTCTGTGGCCTAGAGCCCTGGAGCTGCTAGGCACAGACCTGCAGGGGGATGCTGCCATCTGCCCCGAGCACTCTACTCTGCCCTTTAAAGGAAGGGATTCATTTTGCAGTGCACCAAGGTGCACATACAGACCTGTAAAAGCAAATTTTCAGGTACCAGATACTGAGGAAGTGTCACTTATGTGTCTCTCTGAGTATCTGATGGTTATCTCTTGAGATGACTTTATTCCCATCAAGGAGATGGGGGTTTCTGTTGCCCCTGAGAAGTGCTAATGGTACCTATAGGTGCCAATCGCCTTCTCTCACCTAGAGAGAAGCCAGCCAAAACAGAATTAGAAGTAATTTCCCATATTTGTTTATCCAGATTTATCTGGGGGTCATTTGTGGTTTTAACTGGCGTATTTGAGATTGTTAAGGTTGTATTTTCCTATTCATCTTTCATTAACTCTTATAGTGGCAGGCTATGCATCTGGGTTATTGCATCCACAAATTTCATACACCTGAGCAAACTTTACATCAACTTTATATTTTATCTTCCATCAGCTGGAAGGGTAACACAATACAGCAGGCTGGCTCATGTGTTGAGCAGCCCTGTGAATTAGAATCATAAAAAACAATATTCTGAGTTGGAAGGTACCCACAAGGATCATCAAGTCCAACTCCTGTATCCACACAGGAGAACCTAAAAGTTAAAGCATATATTTAGGAGCATTTTCCAAAGTTATAGGTATATATCTCATGGAGATCTATCTAGCTATCCTGCAATCATTATCTGTAATTCACCGTCTGCCTCATTTTTTACAGCATGATCATGTAAAGCATAGGAGAGTTAACGACAACACAGCAGCTGTATACTTGCCCTCTCCAAAATTACCCAGCTTTGTGAGTACTCCTTATGATTGCAAAGCACCTTCTTGGTCAGAGAAGATATTAAAACCTGTAATTCTCTCCACATTTGGCTGATTGACCTTGCCCTTGGCTTATGCTGCTGTGAGGGTGACTTCTTGATAAGAATGTGAAGCTACCATATGTCACTGGAATAAAACCAGATGCCTTATGCATGTTGGGTCTAGCATTTGTCTTCAGGTACATGTTGGTACAGAAATAGCCTTCATTAGCAGCTGTCTTCATCTGCTGCAACCCAGCCATATCTTTACAAAACTATAATCTATAATCCAGCCTGTGAGGCTTCAGTTCAGATATTATTTTTTGGATAAAATTTGGATGAAATGCTGGGAGTGTACTATGAGGGCAGAAGCACTGGTAAAGTCTCAAAAGCAAGCAGCCAGAAAGGCATTGGCACTTAAAGGAAGCACACTGCCCAGCTGAGCCTCCAGCAGCTGGTCCCAAGGACTCAGATCTCTTCCTCTGACAGCTGAGATATTCTCTGAGCTTCACACTTTGTCTGGGACATAGCTTGTCACCTTTCACTGGCTTTCTGTGAGCAGAGATAGACATACAACCTATGAAGTTCCAAATTAAAGGTCTGGGTCTGGCAGACTATGACAGTAATTTTCAACCTATCCACACAGAGTTTTCTGTCACTGGACAGCAAACAGTGATGAACATTAAATTCCTTTGTAGGCGTGGCACATAATATTCTGCATTTCTTACCAGCAATGCATCTTTCTGCCTGTTCTCTATAATGCAGTGTTTGTATCTTCCCAATAAACAGGAAGATTCCTGTGATCCATCCTACTTACAAATCATTGCAAAAGGTTATAAACAAGAATAAATCTCATATATATATGAGAAACAAAGAAACAGATAGTTCTGTCTTCTATGCTGACATTAAAGCTCTTGTCAAATTCTAGAAAGTTTTGTAGGGAAAATTGTGCTTCATGTTTTTGAATCACCAAGTTTAACTCCTTTCAAAAAGTATGAAAAGGAGTATCAGGAAAAATTAATTAAAGATAAAGTGGTACAATGCTAAAAAGACAATATTTGCAAGAGCATCTTTATGCACAACAAGCAGGGAGTCAGGATCAAAAATAAAAATTGGTGTTAAAGAACCTTCCCACCTGACTCTGCACTCTTTTAAAGAGTGTTTCTTGGACAAAA